AAGTCATAACACCTGAGGCCGACCCCTCTCTAGGCCTTAGGTGCTGAGGTTTCCCTGAAAATTAGGACAGTTTCTTCGGAGATGCCCCCTCTTTCCACAATAAAGGCATAACCCCTACCTTCTACGATACGTTCTTTCAGCTTCAGTTAACCCTATAGCACCCAATTGCATGGGTTCGGGAGATGGTTGATTAGGGGGAGGTAATGCTAGTAATGCAGTACTGGGTAAAGCAGGTGGCCCTTGTGTATTCAACCTTCTTTGACTATGCCTCTCTCTAATACGGTTGTCAATAAGAATGATATAATCTATTACATCATCCAGAAGAACAGGCAATTCCCTGGATGCTATTTCATCTAGTATGTAAGCGGCCAAACCTTCCTGAAAGGCTGTTACGAGGGCGTCGTTATTCCAAACCACTTCAGCTGCTAGAGTGCGGAATTCAATAGTATAATCCGCTACTGATCTATTACCTTGTCGGACCCTAAGCAGAGCTTTGCCAGCAGAAGCAACCCTACCGGGTTGATCAAATGTACTTTTGAAAGCTGTCAAAAAGTCTGCAAAGGACATTGGGGACGTATTCTCCCACATGGGATTAGCCCATGCTAACGCTTTCCCGGACAAGTGGTTAATTAAAAAAGCAATTTTGGTTCTATAAGTGGGGTAGGAATGAGGATTCATCACCAAATGAATATCAATTTGGTTGAGGAAACCACGACACAATGCTGGATCACCGCTATAGCGCTGTGGTGGCGTCATGTGAACCACGTGAGCAGGAACGGGTACTGGATCGGGAATGTGTTCTGGCACAGCAGCAACAGCTTCTTGAATGGCAGGCTGCAAGTGGGCAGTATGAGCCAGTATGGTTTGTAAAGCCTTGGCAAACTGATCCATACAGTGATCTAAACCATCCATTCTAGCCTCCTGATTCACTAACAGCTGTGGAATGTCAGCAGGTTCCATGGTGGCCCTGTTGTAATGTCACGATTCGGGAACCTAACACGCTAACAGGTCACAGAGAGGAAGGGTGCTATACCGGTCCTTAGAGTGGCCGGGTTAAAGCACACTAAGAATAGTCAGCAGACAAGCCAAGTAAAGGGAGCCAGAAAACAGGAGAACGAGAAACAAGCCGAGGTCAAAGGAAAGGAGAATACAGGAGAATCGAAATAACAAGCCAAATAATCGGTAACCAGAGAGAAACACGAGCAAACTGCATGACAGGTATCACAAGACCACAACAGGGCACTGAGAGACAGGAAAGGTAAGTATATAAATCCTTTGCTTAATTCTGATTGGATAACTTCCAATCAGAATTAACAATCACACGTGGAAGATATTTACACCTCCCACTGTGATTATGGTACTGTTGCTTTAACGCCGGGTCACGTGACTGACTGCGGCGTTTGCATAAATTTGCGGGCTCCCAGCGTGCAGCGTTATACATGCTGCCGCTGGGAGGCGAGAAGGAGGACGCGAGCGGCGCATTTGGCAGTGTGGACTCCGCTCGCCGACAAGTAGGTGAAGGGGAGACCGCGGGCGGCGAAGGATTGAGGGTGAGTGCTGCAAGTGGATTGCAGCCTCCCCTCACAGCTGCCCGCGGAGCCCTGACAATTACACTTGCAGAGTTAAGAGTAGTGGGAGTTGACACCCAGACCACTCCAATGGGCAGAAGTGGTCTGGGTGCCTGGAGTGTCCCTTTAACCCAGCAAGTGTCATTATTGCAGTTTTTCTATCAGACAGCCACTAGAGGGACGTCGGCGGGGGAGGAGAGTAGGCAGAGAGAAGGCATAGCCTGACCAGCGCCGAGGGAGATCGGCGCTGGTCTCCGGTATGTCACTGAAGGGGTTTTAACTCCTCCAGCAACTTGGGATGGGGGGTGGAAGGGAGAGGGGCACTACAGGGTCCTGCAGTGCCAGGAAAACTAATATGTTTTCCTGGCACTGGAGAATCACTTTAAACTGAAAGGTGCTAAACAACTGAACATCTAGGCTCGGATGCTTAAAACTAGGGCCTGAACTATTTGTCCATTGACAGCCCAAGCAGTCAGCAAGCAAACAATTTTTGTTCTGACAGGTAAATCTCAAATGTCAGTCTGATAATTTCACTGTCAGAGCACTATGATTAAGTTATCCAATCAGAGCACTCTGAGTCAAATTGCACGGTGTGGGAAAGCTTCATAAGGCTTTCCCTGCCCAGCAAGCAAAGACTCGCTGGGTGAAGATGGAATATTTTTTCCGTCTAAATTTTTTTTGGGGGGGGGCATTTTGGTTTGTGCGATCAGGTCTTTTATTTCTTTATTTTTTTTATTCTTTATTTGTACTCAACTCACAGGTGTGAGAAACATCATAAGTAAATAAAAGCAGACAATAAGAAAGTGCTCATAATGCAAGAACAGACTTCCTATCAAAATGTACAGTAATGAATCATCCCATGATTTGGGAGTTTTTAAAATATACAAATGTCTAAAGACTATTAGGACATGTCAGCTGTAGGCAGCAGAGAATAATAGAACAGAACATAAGTAACTATCGCTGGAGCGCAGATTCCAAATATTGTCAAGCTGCTAGTACTACTCGGGTACAGCCGCCAACAAACTCACTAGAGAGGTAAAATAAAATGAACAGCCACAAATCTTGGATTCTTGTGCCTACCTTCTAGCCAGACTCTGTGTGTGAACAGTGGGTAAGCATGACTGAAGGCTACACGCCAATGGAAATAAATGCCTCTGAGCCTCAGGTGGCCATACTATCTGAGTAAATACCATAAGAGAGAAGAAGGGCGGGGGTGAAAGGGCCAATCACTCAATTAACTCGATTAAATGCATGGTGTGCCATAATAAAAGTAGGGAGTATAGACACAAGGCATATAGAAAAAAGTAAAATAAAGGTCCAAAAAATAAACAAATAACAATGAACAGTTCTGATCATTCATAATGTATGAAAAACAGTAGGTGTTAGGAAACTCAGGTAGTGGCCTCAGCATAAGCGTCCGAATAGAGGGAACCTTTGCAGGGTCCCATCTTGAGCAGACTTGGATGTCTTCCATGGTCCAGGCTGCGGCAGCGAGTCTCATGGAAGGCCCAGGGTCTCCAGTAGAGCAACCTCTTCCTGCAGATCCTGAACAGAGTCGGAGGACACGCCATGGACGACCAGCAGAGTCTGCAAGAAGCACCACCTGAATTGGATGACTCATTCCCTGAAGAGGGTGTTTTCCAACGCTGCAGTGTGTCACCCAACAGGTTGGTGTAGAAGGAAAGTGCTAGATTTTCAAAGGTGTAAGGAGAAGTCCAATTCAGGGCTGTCTGCACCGCTACCTTATCTTGTATTATTGTTTTGAAAGTGCACCACCAGATTTCATCTGAAATCCAGAAACGAAAATAATGGCCGAATTCTGACCGAATTTCTTCGGAAAACAAATGGACAAACTGTCGAAACTCGGTTTGGACGAAACGATAATTTTTGCTGCGCCCAAGTCTACATTGAAGGATGTAGGTAACACGAGACTACGGAGGAAAGGTGAGTATTATGAAAAAAAATTCCTAGACACAGGAAGTGGAGCTTACTTAAGCTCCTCTTGTGTCTAAGAAAGTCAGGTATAGTCTTATGTTTTTAGTTAGAAATAGCAAAATGAAAAAAAGAGAGACAGAGTAGGAAAGAGGAAGAGAAAAGAAAGTGATTGGGAAAACCAACAATCAAACTCAATGGCTAAAGGTCCCCAAGGCCCTAGCCATCCCCTGTAAAAAAAAAAATCATACTTACCTTGATAAGATTTATTTTTTTCCTTTATAAAGGCCTTTTAATGTTTTATAATGGCAGAGAGCTCTGACAGGCAAGTCTCGTATCTCAAAACACTTGCCTGGGAATACTAAAAACTAAACGTGCCTTCCAGAGCGCTCTGATTGGTTGGCTTACATTCCAATCAATCAATCAATCAATCAATCAGAGGGCTCTGATTGACTTTCAAAGCATTTAAAGGCCTTTATAAAGACTTTCTCCACGGTGAAATGCCAAAATGTCAGTTGGTGCAGATTCCTCGAACAGTAAAAAAGGATTATTTTTATTGTGGTGCATTTTCTATTTTTTCAGTGCATTTTTTTTTTTTTTAATTCAGGCCTTTTGTTCTCTTTAGTAGAAGCATCTGGATATGGTGTATATTTATTGGGCCTTTTGTGAGTCTGGAGTAAAGAATCCTTAGTCAAAAGAAGAAGGTAAGTATGATTTTTTAATGATAAATATACAAACACGATGAAAAAAAATCTAACTCCAAATCTGTAATGGTTGTGGGGTAATTAGAGCATAACCCAACATTAATATACTAATAATCGTGTTAGTGCTTTATAGGAGAAGCCCACAATTGTATACTGGGCGCTCCACATATAATCTTAAAGAAGAAAAAATAATAATAACAACTTCTTGAGATAAAAACTACAAAAAGAATGTATAATAATGTCCCAGAGACCTTTGGTATTGGAGGGGTTAATCTTGCCACAAAAGTAGAATCCACTGGCTTGGGATACAATGTATACAGCAGCAAATGGTCCCTAGAAGGATACAAAATAAATCCTCATAGTGCAACACTGTTTTAATTATTCAACCTTAAAAACCCTCTCCCCAAAAGGAACCCTTACATAGACAAAACACAAACCAGCATGGGTTTAAACGAGTGCAATAGATGTTACCACCCATCCTGCTGATTTCCTCGGTCAAGCTGAAATCTTCTTGCCGTGTATCTGACTGCTTTTCTTGGAGAGATGCAAAGTATTAGGGACAGTGTCGGCAATCACTCTGTATTCACTCTTCTAGAACAGAAGCCGTTAGCACTTCAACACGTTTCGCCCTAATAACCCGGGCTTTTTCAAGATAGTTCGCGGCCACATCCATTGGTCTTATATACGCTTACATCAGTCTAATTTAAAAAAATATATATTTTATTGGGTTTTGAAAAACATGTTACAGTTTCTACATAGTACATAACTTGTAAATTTCATTTGTGGTTCATACCGTGTAGTATAACAGCTGCCCTCAGTACAACCTTGAGGGGTGACTTAGACATTCAAATATCATATAACCGTAACTGTGTTTATTTTGCTCGGCTCTCTGAGCCTGTATCTTGTTGTACCCAAAGTATTCGCGTATCAATGAAGGGGGAGAATGGGGGAGGAGGAGAGGGAATAGGGGTGAGGTCGGTTATGTATTGAGTGGTTGTGTCATGTGTCACTCTGTAGTTGTTATTTAGTATTTATTTTTCTCGCTTGTGCCACCTTTCCCATTTTTGCCACGCTATTGCCCAATGTTTGTTCATGGCCCCTAGCTTTCTTGCCTCTATTTTGTATCTTTTAGTGACCTCTATTGTGTCTATACATTGCGGAGTGCCTGGAGGAGTTTTATTTAGCCATGTTTTGCTAATGGTTGTTAGTGCGGCAATAATAATATGATACGCTAAGTATTGATCCGCTTTTTGCCATTTGTGTGGTATTATTAATAATAAGTATGTTTCTGGTGTGTGTGGTAATACATTGCCTGTGGATGCTGTGATCATTGTCAAGATGTCTTCCCAAAAGGTTTTGAGTAGTGGGCAAGTCCACCATATGTGGATCATTGTTCCCGATTCCTCCAGACATCTCCAGCAAGTCTTTGACTTTGTGTGGTCAATTTTATGTAACTTAGTGGGTACCATGTACCAGTGGTATAGCATTTTTCTACTGATTTCAATATGGGCTGTGTTTAGTGTAAGGTTTTTATGTGCTAGTAGAGTTTTTGACCATGTCTCATTGGGTAGGGTCTGGTTTATATCTGTTTTTCATGCTCTCATGAAGCTTAATTTCTCTCTATGTTCCCATTTTGTGGGCATGTTGTATAGAAATGACAAGATTTTTTGGGGTGGTTTTTGAGCAATGCATACTCTTTCCAGCTCAGTTAATGTATAGCCCTGTGATTGCATTTTGTCTGATTTAACATACTTTTTCACCCATGATTTTAATTGTAAGTATAAAAAGAAGTATTCTGTGGATGCTGTGATCATTGTCAAGATTGTCATTGTTTGGTAAAAAGTCTCCTGAGGTGAATATATAGTCTATTCTGGTATATGTTCCATGTGCGGAGGAGTCAAATGTAAAATCTCTGTCATTTGAATGTTGTGTTCTCCAAATGTCGTAGAGGTTATACTCTGCTAGTAGTTTTAGTATTGCTGTGGCTTGTTTGCATAGTGTTCTGATCCTGGGGGATACAGTTGACAATGTGGTGTCCAATCGTGGTTGCATTATATGGTTAAGATCTCCACATATAATCGTGTGTATCTGGTATGCGGTAGGGAGTTTAGCAAGCACTTTTTGTAAGAAATGTCTTTGGTTTTCGTTGGGTCCGTATAGGCCCACTAAGGTGTATAGGATGTCATTGAGTTTGCAGTGTAGTATAAGGTATCTGCCCTGTGTATCTTTCGTGAGTTTCAGGTGTACAAAGGACATCGATTTGTGTATAAGGATTGAGACACCCCTTGATTTGGAGGAATATGTTGAGTGATATTGTGTAGGGTAGTCTCTACCTGTAAAGACAGGCACCCTGTTGTGTGTAAAATGCGTCTCTTGAACGCACAGGATATCCACCCCAGTGCGTTTTGCTTCCTCAGTGAGGAGTCTTTGTTTGTGTGGCGTGATTAGCCCTTTTGCATTTATTGTCTGTATTTTCATACTTTGTATGGGTTATTTTTAAATCTGCTCACTTGTGTGCTCTTATTTTCTTTATAGGTTTGTGGTATGTGGTATAGGTGAATTGACCAGTATTGTATAATTGTTATTAGGTGATAGTGCACATCTGTTTCGTTGCATTTCTTTCATTGTTCTATGACCGACCATATGGGTTGGCGGGTTTGGGAGGGATAACTTGGGGGGGTATACAAACTATGTACAAAGCGTCTCTTCCAGAGACTGTATGTGGGTTGTCCACATCGTGGGGGTTGGAGAATCTTTTGTCCTCCATTTACATGGCTATTGGGCATTTATTAATGAATTATGCTGCGTCTTTCATGTATTGCGGTGTGGCCTATGGGTTAAATTGGCTAACATTTGCAACATGTGGGAGAGACCCACGGCATTCCCATATTGTTCCCTTTCCCATTTCGCTGCGATTTAACATATCACTTGTTGTAGTGCCACCTAGTCTGTAATGTGCATGTCTGCCGGGTTCTCCCTATATTTAGCTTGCGTGTGTATGTCTAGGGCTTGGTTTGTTGTGGCATTGTGTTGCTTGTCATCCTGTGTTATAACTTACATCATATATTTCAACCTCCTATCTAATAACATGTAATATTTCTAACATCTACTATAGCTTTATGTTGCCTGGCACACTATTGTAACTTATATCGTATATAGTAATATCACAGAGATAGCATTCAGTATTCTTAACTTCAGCATTACTTTCCCCGTTTAGCTGTCCCGTCTCAATCTGACATATACATGACCGTGGCATTACTGCTTTCAAATTCTGCTGTAGCATGTCTCATGTAAAGCAACATCGCACAAAGCAACTCACAGCATTCCCAGTTCAGCATTCTTTCCCCGCTTTGTGCTCCCATCCCACCTGCCACCTCCCCCCGTACTACGTCTCTGTTGTATCACGGGCATGAAGTTCAGCATTGAGAGGTTGTGGTGTCTTGTTTTCACGGCACCCACTCGTCTGTGTCACAGGCCCCACACATCTTGAGCCTGGTTGTGTTGTGGGGTTTGTTAGTTTGGGAAGAATCAGTTCAGGCCCAGTGCCTGGGTGCCAGCACCATGCCAACTTTAGTGGATTCGTTGTTTGCTTCATGTTATTTGTTGGTTCCATCTTGGACCCGCTGGATTGCAGTCCTGGGAGAGGGGTAGAGAGACATCAGGTGAGATACAGATGTGGCGTGAGCACCAACAGGTTCTGTTCTCGTACCAGACCAGGGACCCCCGCGAACCACCACTGCTGTACTTGCGCCTCGTCACATGAAGTAGCGGGAGGCCCTGATCCTGCACCATCTTCCCACAGGTGTCTCAGTGGTAAAGGTATGTTGGTTTTTAATTTATATATGACCCTGGTATATTGGAGAGAGTCTCATGTTGTGTGAGTCCCAGTCTCATATGGGCAAGTAGTGTTGTCATGTTGTACTTGCCTCTAAACCAGTGATTCGACTGGTTTTAATGTCTCCTGTGAGCTTTCTTCCATTCGGGCTTGAGCTTTCCTGCTTGTGGTTCATTCAGGGTTGCGCTTTCCTCTGTTAGTTCCCAGGCTTGTATTCTCTTTAAGCCATCCTCCGGTGAGGACAGCACCGTCATTTCCCCATCTTTTGTAATGATGAGATTCGTGGGGAAGCCCCATCGGTACCTTATGCCATGCGCTCTCAGCGTACTGGTTACTTGTTGAAATTCTTTTCTCTTCCTGAGGGTTGCAGCTGAGAGATCTGCATACATTTTTATTGTGGGGTAGTCATCAGGTGGTTTGGCTCTCAGTCTGCTGCCCTTTAGTATGTGTACCTTTATGTGGAAATAATGGGTGCGTAATAGTACATCTCTAGGTACTGTTTGTGCAAGATGACAGGGCTTTGGGATGCGATGGACCCGGTCGACTAACAGCATATCTGCCGGGATCTCTGGAGCATAGGCGTGTAGAAGACTCCGAACATATGATGGTAAGATTTCTTCCAGAATCCCCCTCATCAGTCTAATTTTAAAGTGACAGGTTGTAATATTTTTTGTTTCCTTTTTACCAGGAAAAGTGCTCATGTTTTCCTCATATGTCACATAAAATTAGTAAAAACTTATAAAAACATTTTCACATGAAAACAAATTATATATAAAAAGTACTTCATATATGTTAACAATATAGACAACATTATTCATGTAAGAAACTTATTCAAATAAAAAAACTTAACAAAAATTTCATATCAGTGTGTAAGTAGACTTGGCAAAAAAAAATTAATAATAATAAAAAAACATAAAAACTTTGTTCATATATACCCATATGCACATACAAAAATTGTGTACATATACATATATAAAGTTAGAACTTTACTAGCGGCTTCGCCGCGATCCGACACTTCCGGGTTCACAGACTATTGACACTCCTCCTCTAACGCGGCTTCCTCACGTTACTTAGAGGAACCGCGCCAGATTCAAAGTGCTTGATTATTTTGAAGCTTCCTAATCAATCAGACCGGCTACAAACAAGCTATCTCTTTCTATAAATTACGTGTACCGAACATGGATTGTTGTAACCGCTGATTTCCATTCACCTTCGAAATGACTCGGTTACCTGTGGATTCTCTCTGCTTTGTAAAGCTCATCATCATAAACGCAAGTTATATTGTTGGATGATTACCTTTCTATTGGCACTTCAGTTTTCACTACATGTCTTCCTACTGAGACTAATTGGAAGTTTTAATTGTATTTACTACATCAACTTATTCACATGGATTTGTTTTATGAACTTTCCATATAAAAATAAGTCACTAAATTTATACTCAAGTTCCTAAAAGCTACAGGAACTCTCTCATCGACCTATCTCCATACTGTGTTCCTTAAAGCTACAGGGACTTTCTCATCAAACTAACTCCATATTGTGTTCCTTAAAGCTACAGGAACTTTCTCATCAAACTATCTCCATATTGTGTTCCTTAAAGCTACTGAAACTTTCTCATCAAACTATCTCCATATTGTGTTCCTTAAAGCTACAGGAACTCTCACATCAAACTATCTTCAACTATCTGTGTTCCTTTATGTGTTCCTTTATGCTACAGGAACTCTCTCATCAAACTATCTTCATATTGTATTCCTTAAAGCTACAGGAACTAATCACATTCCTACATCTGCATATCTCGTTCCTTAAAGCTATAGGAACTAGTCTTTTGACCAATTCTCCCCCTCTCCATGGGACAGTAACTCTTTCAATCCCACAGTAGCTCAAACTCCCCAGATTACTTGCATGGTGATCTAAAAAATGTTTTGATACAGAATGTTTTTCAAAACTTCTTTTGATATTGTACACATGTTCATTTAACCTCACTCTTTTCATTATCTTTGTTTGCCCCACATATTGAATCCCACAAGGGCAGCTTAGTAGGTAGATGATTTGTTTTGAATGACATGTAATGCATTCATTTATATCGAATTTCTCCTTAGTAACAAAATAATAAAAACTGGGGATTCTTCCATAGTGAGGACCAGTTATTTTGCATATACTGCAACTA